TGGGGCAGGGCAGGGAGGAACACTGTATCTAAATATGTCCTTACATTTCGACTTACCTTCCTACCGTTTTCTGTTTTTTAAGGGCAGGGGCAAGTTACTTCTTGAGTATGTGAGTAATTTGAAGAGCTAGGAAAGCTGCCCAAAGCTTTGTTTCCCCCCTCCCCCCCCCCCAAATAAACTGTTGCTGTCACAATGTTTCTGATCTCTTTGTGGTTGCCCTACAAGAGGTTCTCAGGTCAACATGACCTTTGAGATCCCAAGATGTTGCTTTGTCTCTTGCCCAGCAGTGTTGAATGAGAAGCTGTAGACTTCCTTTTTTGAGTTTCCTTTTTTAGTTCTTTTCTCTGTACCATTTGGATAGAGTTATTTTCACAGTGCTCTCTTACTCATCTGTGAGGGCTCACCTAATAAGTGGATTGCGCGATCAACAAAGCCTTTGAAGCCAGGAGCGTTGTAGGCTTTCTGCGTGCGCTAGGCTCCTCAGCAACTATCGCTAGGGGTTGACCACGTGTTGTGACCTTGATTTATATGACTGATAAGCTTCTACACACAGAGTGCTTATACAATTTCTGTGCTTGCTGAGAGAACTGACTTCCCTTTTCTTTGTGAGCTCTAAGAAAAGGTTGTGGTAAAGCAACCTGTGCATAATGTCAGAATTTATGTTCTTGAACAAAACAGGATAGCTAAACTACCTGCAAACTGACCTCGCTTCAACTCTTACTCTGTACAGAATTGAACCCTGGTCCTAACAGGAGACGTGGGAAGTGTCTTTCCCCTGAGCCTGGATGTGCTGTTTATTGTGGCCTTTCTCATCCTTATATTCCAGTAGTTATGCCCTGCCTTTTCTGTTTGGAAGTAAAAAGCAAGATCATTGACAATAAACTCTCCAATATGTCTGCCATTACAGGTAGTGAGACAGGAGATGTGCGGTAACTGGGTGTGCTTGCCCTCACGCAGGCATGTACTGCCACCTAGGGGCCACCGAGCCTGTAGATCAAAAAGGAAATGCCTTTTAGAAAGGAAAAAAAGAAAATATTAAGAGGAGAAGGGGATCTTGTCTGGTGTTTGGTCTTCAAAAAACAAACCAAACAATCTTTGCATAAAAGGTGCGTATGGTACAAGTAGGACAGCTGGCAGTTAAGGAGTAGCCAGTCCCTGCAAAAAAGCTGCCTCTCAGATCCTAAAGGTGAGAGTAGGGAATCAAGGCTTTCACTATTTGATAATCTGATTCTTGATCTACTCGAGACCTATATAAATGTCCAATTTGCTTTTAAAATCCTTGACTCAAGAAGAGAAGAATCCATTTCAGACTTCATTTGTTAAGTGACTTCAGAATTAAGTGTTGCAAATTCCAGTTTCTAATGGATGCAGCTAGAAAACATGACTTCATTGTATATGAAGTGTGGAATATATCTTTAAAAAACTAAACAAACAAAAACCAAAAACTCAACCCTGACAAACAGTACTAGATAGACTAAAAATGGAATTCTTAAATGCTTATCTGGGAAAGACCAAGTTTGTCTCATAGCTCCGCATTTTTCAGTTTGTTATTACAGTAAGTACCATCAAAAGAGACGTTACTCGCCATTGTGATGCATGTGGTATCATTTTAACAGCTGCCTTCTCAAATCCAGTGTTTGTTGCAAATATTGGTTCGTATTATGGTGTTGTAAGTCCTTTCAACAGTGAGCGTTTTGGCCAAGAGAATAACCTACTTCTCTGTGCTGTTTCATGTAGGATCGAGTGACATTCAGAAGAATTATCCTGAAAAACAACGCAAAGAAGAGGAAGACATATGAGTTATTTATTGAGTCTGTGCCCCTTCTTAAATCCTTGGAGGTAATGCCTCTCAGACATCTGTATCAAATTATTGTATTAGCATTAGCTCTGCAGTCAGTGTTTCTGGTATATTGGGAGCTTATGTATCTTTTTTGCTCAGAGCAAAATTTTAAGAGCTCCTTTGGAATTGTTTACTGTACAACCTAATTTAGAGTGTTGCACTTGTACAACGTTTTGTTCCAATTCTTCTTTGTTCACAGTTGGAAGATAGTTTGCTGATTTTTTTTATCTCAGTCTGTGTGTGTGAAGATATCAAAACATAAGTATCCCAAAGAACAGGTATTAAACTACTAAAGACTAGAAAATAAGGACTGTGGTTCCCTTTGAGGTCATTATGCTGAAGTAATGACATACCGCACTAAGGTATTCAGCTTTTATCAACCATGAATGATTTTTACGTACGAGGTCAAGATGTGGGCCGCAGCAGATCTTGCTTTAAACCCTTTTACCTATATTCAGGAGGTAAACTAAGAACAGGCTAGAGGAAAGCACCACTGCCTGGAAACAAAATAACCAGGCAGAGCAGGCACATGCCATGCTGATGGTTGTGATGTTTTCTAAGCTATTTAATCAACCTGGATCTTTAGAGGGCTTTCAGAGCCATACCAGACTGCTTTAGGCATTGGTACGTGTCAGCCTTTGCCTTACACTGTAACTTAGCTTTTTTTTTCATGATAAGGATATTTTTCAGCATTAATCTTTAGCGTTTGAGAAGCCCTTACACTCCCCTTGAGAGAGGATTACAAAATAGCAAAGTATTGTTAGGTGTGACTAGCAACTTCTAGAATATATTAGTTTGGAGCTATGCTGATAGCTGTAGAAGGGGAAATTTGCGCAACACCTTTTCCCTCAATGCCTAGCTTAAACCAGTTCCATCAGCATGACTTTTTTATAGCACAAAAATGACTCATAAATATTTAAGGCTATAGAAAAATAACTCATTAGCACTGGATGGCTTTTTGAATGACAAACTGCAGTTGAATCATCCGTGGATCAGAATTAACAGAGTTTCTCAGACAAGGGATAGATCGAGGTGCATTTGTGAGATGAATGGATTTAAAACTGAATCGTCTTTTGAGGTTTTCATTTTAACTGTTTAGGGTTTTTTCCTTAACTTCTTTTTTCACTGCTCTGGATATCGACCAGATTGTTTTGTCATGTTATATATGGGCAGCAGGAAACATGAGAGATAAATTTAACTCTTGAGACTGTCCTTTCTCCCTTCCTGTTTATGAAGGTGACTGCACGTCAGATTAGTGCCTCTTGCTCTTGGGCATCCTGTTGTAGTGCTTGCTGACAATTTAGACCTGTTATCCTTTTTGTATCCCCTTCCTCTCTCCACAATAGGAGTGAATTCCTGGATCAAACAAACAAAAATCATGTTCAAGTGTAAGCTGACTTAAGATAATTCGAAACTATTTTACTGATATTTTTCATTGAAGTTTGTTCTTAAAAAGTTTCTGACTTTTCTGAGCAATTTCTTCAAATGTCAACTGAAACTTAAAGGAGGTGATTTATTTCCTTTGCTCTAAAGGAGCTGAATCAGTTATTTGGAAATCTTGGAGTAAGAGAAGCACATGGATGGGATAGAAGTTTCCTTTCTCTAAAGGTTGCCTGGAAAGCCATGATGCAATGTGACAGTGTCATTGCAGGGGCTGCATTTTTCAGTACTGAGATGCAGCATGTGTGTGTGTCTAGTGCATGCCTCTTCATTTCTGTTTTGACAGGGCTACAGCTTATACCAGAGGTGTACTATAGCAAGTGATTGTGTTTTAATTTTCCTCTTTGTTCCAGCCTTCAGAACGAATGAAAATAGTGGATGTAATAGGGGAGAAAGTGTATCAAGATGGGGAACGTATCATTTCTCAGGTAATTGGAGTCTAAATTTCCATTATCATTCTTTCTTCTCTGCTTTTTCTACTTTGTATTTGCTTATACAATCATATTACTTGAACCAGCTTGGCATCACTTGCTCTTTTAATACTTCCAATTTATTTAACCAATTTTTGAATGTTTTAGGAATGGTCTCCTACATTTTTTTGTTAAGAATTTATTCTATTACTTTAGCTTCTGGTTTTTTTTCTCCTCTAATCCTTTTTTTTTTTTTTTTAAATATAAGTAGTCTTTACAAGATTTCAAAAGAGGAGTATGTGTTAAGAAGCTCAAACTACATATCCATGCCATTTTCCATGAAAACCCCCAGTTAGACTTTTCAAAGGCAGCTGTGAGCAGATTAAACAAGGAGTCACAAGCACACAGTAAAGGCATCTCTAATTCCTAGGTCTGACTAAACAGCAAAATTAGAACAATTTAAATGGGCGTATGATTTAGATAAAACGAAATGAAGTCAGTGGAAAGTATTTCACTGGTTTGACCCGACTCAGTTGACTATATTGTCTGAAGAAACTAGCAGGGTTAATTAAAACCACTGTTTTTTTCTGATGATCTTAAAGACTATTTCAAGGCTGGAGTAGTCTGGCATCAGTCTATACAGCCTTTGGATGCTGGTATATGTTTTGACTGTTGGAATAGATCAAGGCCAGATTGGTGAAGTGTGAAGCTGGACAAATTCAGCCTTAAGCTGTGGGTTTTTGGTTGTGACAGAAGTTAACTTTTGGAATAATTTACCAATGAAGCACTGGAACGTTTGGATAACATTTAGCTGGAGTTTGCTCTGTTTATGTATCTAAGAAGAAAGTGCTCTATTTTGAACAGGAGTTAAGGCAAGAAAGTCCTTGACTTACCTGGAATAGTAGGCTTTTGATTGCAACAGTTTTGTTGTTTTATAAACAGAGTATGACTCCTTGATAATGTCTTGCATAATTAGTTACCTTGCATGTCAGATAACTCTGAATGCAGGAAACCTTATTTTGCTGATAACCAAGTACTGCCAAATTTCTTCTCTGCAAACATCCCTTCAATTTTATAAGATGAAAAATCTTATTGCATAAGAGTCTGAGAAAACTGAACTGTCAGCAAAATCAAAGCTTATAAATCTGAGTCTCAAAACTGGAAACCCGAGCAATCAGTGATCCAATTATGCAATTGATTTTAATCTTTGTAATAACTGAATTAAAGAGAAGGACGTAATTATCCTTAACAAAAAAAATAAATCAGAAGTAGGATTAATAGTCTGGTGATACACTGCTAAAGAAGATTAAATTTTATGCTGGGAAAAGATTCTGATAGCTCCTACATTACGGCAGTTGCATCAGTACCATGAACCTCTTTTCTCTTGTGGATGACTTTGCATTTTAATTATCTTTCTGGAATTTGATCCTTCAATTAAGCACAGTATGCTTTAAAGCGCTTGGAAATTGTTAAGGCATGCCAGTGTTATGTGAAGTTCTTATGTCTCCCACTTATTCATTTTCATTCTTTAGAAAAATAAGTAACTACTCTTGCAGCACAGAAGTGGGCTGACTGTATCTGCTCATGTTGTGATGATAGGTGGCAAGAGTGAATGAAAAACTTTGTGCTGGATAGCTTACCACCATCCCCAGAAACCTTAATTTAAGAGTCTAACTTCTTCTGTGACTGCAAGTTTAAGTCTTGCATCAACTTCTCAGTCATACTCGAGCATGACTTCATACTTAAGTTCTAATCATCTCTCTCCATCCTTCCTGTCACATTCATAGTCATCTTGCCCAAATCTTGTCTCCCTTTCTTGTCTGTCTTCCTTCTCTTCCAGTTCTACTACTTTCAAATCCAATTTTTTCTTTCTAGGCTATTTTGACTTTGCCTGTTCCCATGTTCTAGTCTCTTGCTTACCCTTTCCCAGTTCTTCCACTGTACTTGACTTGGTACTGGATTTATCTCGCTCACATTGTGTCCCAGTTTTGTTGAGCCAATTCCCATTCCCTTATCAGTTCCTTATTCAGCCTCTGCATCCTTGAGGCCTTTACTCTCTTCACCTCTGATTCATAGGAGGAAGGATGTACAAGCTCTCTGCTCTGATTTTCAGTCCTACACCAAGCCCACAACTGCCTTTGCAGGGAAATTCTTCCCTATCACAGCTAAAACTTTCAAAATATTAAGCTCTGGTTGAACCTCTTCAGAGCACATGTAAATTTAGTCTTGTTAAAGGTCTGCAACTTGGTGGCCACTAGAAATGTGGTCAGTAACTTGATGTTTTATTAAAACTTGCTTCTGGATATTCTAGGACTTGGAAAGTTTCACTCACCACTGGATGCTTTCCATAAGGATCAGGTGATTTGCACTTGGATCATTCTGCTATATACTGTCATCCTCTTTGCTTTTCCCTTTCTACCTGCCTTAGTTCCTTCCTCTGAGGGTTCCTCTGATAAATTCCCAAAGCCAGTCACTTTTTAATGTTGTAAGAATATGAGTGTTCCAGCTCTTCTTCCTTTCTGAATGTGCTTCATAGGATCATAGAATAATTTTGGTAAGAAGAGACCACTGTAGATCTCTTGTCCCATCTCCTGCTCAAAGCAGGGCTAGTGTCGAAATTGGATGAGGCCCCTCAGAGCCCTCACCAGTTGAGTTTTGAATATTTTCAAGGATGGATATTCCACAGTCTCCTTAGGCCCCTGTTCTAGTGTTGGCCTATCCTTGTGGTGAAAGTGCTCCCCCTCTCCCCCCCGGTAATAGCTAATCAGAATTCCCGTTGTTCCAGCTTCTGTCCGTTGTCTCTCATCCTTTCACTGTGTGTCTCTTGAAGTATCTGGCTCTGTCTCCTCTAAACCTCCTCCTTAACCCCCCCCCCCCCCAGGGGGACAGCAATAAGATCCCGCTCTGCCTTCTCTTTTCAAGACCAAACGAACCCAGCTCTCCCAGCTTCTCCTTATATGTCATCTGCTCCAGCCTCCTGAGTATCTTAGTAACCAGTTCTTCAATGTCTGTCTTGTACTGGGGAGCCCAAAACTGGACACGGTACTCCAGATGCAGTCTTAAGAGAGCCAAATAGATGGGAAGAAATGCTTTCTTTGACTTGTTGGCTGCGCACTTGCCAGTGCAGCCCAAGGTGTGGTGGCCACTTTTGCTGCAAGAGTGCACTACTGACTGCTGTTCAACTTGTCCACTAGGATCCCCAGCTCCTTTTGTTTAAAGAGGCTCCTTAGTGGTTCAGTGCTAAGCCTGTCCTCTTGCATAGCATTCTTCTAGGATTCTGCTTTGTCAAATTTCATGAGGTTTGTTCTTGCCGAGGTCCCTCTGAATAGCAGCCCCATCTTCCAGGGTATCAACTGCTCCCCGCAATCTGGTATCGCCCATGGATTTGCTGAGAAGGCATTCCGTCCTATCACCCAGATTATTAATGAAGCTGTCAAACAGTCTTGGCTCCAATATCAGCCCCTAAGGGATGCCCCTAAAACTACTGCCTAGCTGGACTTCAAATTGCTGGCCATCAGTCTTTGAGACTAGAGGGTCAAATGGTTTTTCACTCAGTTTCATTCATAGTTTTATGGATTACTCCATAATTCTCCTGGGGACCAACATTATGCTGGTTGCCTGTAGTTTCCCAGATCCTCCTTTTTTCCCCCCTCTTGAAGATGGGCAAGATTTTAGGTTTTTTCCAGTCATTAGAGACATTTCCCAATTACTATCACCACGTGAGGATGATAAAGAGCAGCTTCATAGTGACACTAGTCAGCTTCCTCAGCTGACCGTTCCATTCAGTGCCATTGACTTGTGTATGTCCAGTTTGCTTAAGTGGTCCATAACTCAATCTTCCTCTACTTCTGGGCCTTTGTTTCTTATGACTTCTATAGTTACCATAAGTCCCTTTACTTTCAGACTTAATCTTAAGAGAGAAGTACTTCTGTTCAGCTTCATATCAGTTTCTAACTTGTAAATCAACAGTTTTAAAACCTCGATAATAAATTATACTAATATTAGCCTTTTATATAGACTCTTCAGTTTTCTCTCTCACCCATTGCTTTGATGTCAATTTGCTGTCAATTACAACAGATTTTTACACAAAGCTGAGTTCAGAATAAATATTTTAATATTTCTGCCTTTCACAATAAGCTTAAAAAAATAATATGTTCCACCTTTTCCTCTTCACAGGGTGATAAAGCAGATTGCTTTTACATTGTAGAATCTGGTGAAGTAAAAATCTTGATTAAAAGCAAGGTGAGTTCAAATAGGATGATTTGGGTTTAGATTAATCCCCGATTTGCTCTGTTAATAGAAGTGCTGCACAAAAATCCAGCATGACTTACTTTAAAATATTTATTGTTATATGATGTTTATCATTGTCACTCGGGTAACGTAGGTTGTAAATCTCTGCGTTGGTTCTGAAGTGGCCAGAAGGCACTTTAGTATAAAGTTGGAGGTTTTTTTGCTCCCGTGCAAACTGACTTGATGTACTCTCCCTGGCATTAAGGACAGAGGAAAAACTTTTCTTTTAGGATTTTAGCAAACTGGAAGCCACAAAAAGTTGGGGTGCATTATCTTCACTTGGTAGACATTTGCTTTCAAACAGATCCCAGTGCGGGCTGAAGTAGTCTTTAGGGAGCAAAGTCTTGTGTATAATAAACGTTGGATCTGTGTTAGTCCAATGTAATAGTCTAGAGCAGCAGTTCCCAAAGCTTTAACAGTGAATAGCTACCTGTCTTCAAAGCTTCTTGTGGGCCAGCATATACTTTTCTTACCAAAATTCTGACTGAGCATGCGGGAAAGGTGTTCTACCACTATAGAGCATGATTTGGGTATTGCTAGTCCTACAATTACTAAACCAATGAGCTGTTGCACATCTGAAGGATGTCTGGGATTAACTGCAGTCTTATACAAAGGCAGAGCTGCAGGCAAAGTAATTTAAATGTTCTGTTTTACAGACTATGACAAGTAAGGATGCTAACCAAGAAGTGGAGATTGCCCAGTGTCACAGAGGACAGTATTTTGGAGAGCTTGCACTTGTTACCAACAAACCCAGAGCAGCCTCTGCCTATGCTGTTGGGGAGGTCAAATGTTTAGGTAAGGAGGGATTCTGTGTTTCTAGTTATCCTTTTCTAGTCTTCACTTGTTCTGTGGACTTTCTTCTGCTGAGCAGCTATTCAAAACCTGGCTGCCGTTTGGGACCTGTTAGTCAGACACTTGAGGCTAGGAGTATGGACTGGAGAGGATCTCCGTGTTGAAGTTTGGGAAGCTCTACTACCTCCCCCCTCAGACCTTTAGGTCCAAGTGGGTGGGGTAACTGCCCCAGTGGGCTTTTACTTCTGCTTGCATGGTCTGTGCTCAAGGAAAAGGGAAGTTGTACCCAGACTCTACTGTTTTTGCAGCACAGTCTTCAACATCAGTTTCTTGTCTAGCACCTGTTCGTAGCATTTAGGTGATACATCTATGCCTGTACTGTGTGTATTTGCCTTCCGTGTTTATCCCTGAGGTCAGGTGCATATTTTATGAATCTTATTTCTTGAAACAACAGTACAGACTGAAATAAGAAATATGATTCTTGTTAACATGGCTTCTGTTGAAGTCTCAGAACCAAAGGGGTTGGACTTGAGGTTTGTGTTCTGAGTTCAGAAAACAGATTGGCACGTGGTGTCCTTTTGACAGACAATTTTGTTTCCACTTCTGTTCCTCTGCAGTCATGGATGTGCAAGCATTTGAGAGGTTGCTCGGACCCTGCATGGACATTATGAAGAGGAATATAACGCATTATGAGGAGCAGCTGGTGGCACTGTTTGGCTCTAGCATGGACCTGTTGGATCCAGGGAATTAGGCACAGGGTACCTCAACGCCTTCTCAGTTCAAGACACAGAAAAGCCTCCTATCAGCAACACAACTCACAAGGAAAATAGACACTACGGAACAGTTACTGCTGCTGTCTTCTTGGGCATTTTAGAAACCATAAACAAGTCTCAGCACAGATGGATTGCTCACTCCATGCCTCCACTTTGCTGCTGATACTTCATTATTAGACCTAGATTAAAGATGATTCTAACCCTATGTTCACTTACATGGTTCAGAATGGCATCTCTCCAACAGTTCAAGTGCCTGATATGAAACCCAAAGTGAGCAAGATGTAAAAGCCTCCTTTTTGGTGTTACCGCTGGGATAAATTTTCAGATCAGATTCTGTAGTGGTAGGCTGCCTGTTCTGCAGAGGCAACCTATAGAATACGAGCCTTTTACAAGCTTATTATCTTCTTCTGATATTTTCCTTACACAATGTCAAATTTGTTTTTAATTGTAGCATCTAGGTTTGAAGTTAAAAATATCAATGGAGCCAATTGGTAAGGTGGCACGGAAGTTTTCTTCAGCCTGCTGAAAGAGGCAGGTACTATAGTTGTTTAAACCAAGTAAACCAAGCTGGGGACACAGGAGAGAGCTGCTTAGCAATGAAATGCAGAAAATGAAGCATTACTAAATTTTAAGTGTTTTCTGGGCAGCAAAGAAAATGGTTTTACTCTCGGCTGCCCCAAAAAAAGTGCAGTGGTTTGGATTGTAGTCTAACAGATCAAATGGCTTGAAGGTTTCGTAGTTGTCATCTCCCGAAATTTGCTCTTTGTTTCTTACACCGAGTAGATTTTATTGTGGAGAGATCGCTATATATGACCTTCTCTTGCTTAAAGAGATCCTGTATACTGCTTGATTTCCCAGGGCACTGTTGTTGTCTGGGTCAGTTTTAAAGCTTTTTAAGGAGGTGAACATTTTGTAATTTAAAGGAAGACTCTTTCTGTACTTATTTACAGGAGCTCCCTCCCACCCCAGTCCTAATATTTCACAGTATTCTAACTTCGTTAGACACTTGGATGCTTCCAAATGCCAAGTCTATTTGCTAAATCTTTCAAAAGTTGGCAGCATTTGACTTAGTAGAGCAAATGTCTTTGCTAACTATGCAGTTGGTGTGTTTGAGGAATCTTTCTGGTTTAGGTGATAACTCAGCTAATGATGTTTATCTAAAATACCTGTTAAATTTGCAGCATTTACTAGGTAGATTCTATTTCTGTAGCTTTAATGACCTTAATTGGCATACTGCTAAGATTTTACCAGAGTATTATCTAAATAAGAACCAGACCATAAGAAGGATATTTTTATGGTGTAAAACAGAATATTTATATTCAGACATTGAATTTGTAGGTGATAAATCTAGTGACCCTTTGAATTTGCATTCTTCAGCTCATGCAAAACTTGTGTTTTATGGAGTTATGAAATTTTAATTGTGGATGCTAGTAGAACAGAACCTGCTCTTTTATTCTTCATGGCCACGTGAGCAAGAATAGAAGGATGCTAATGTTGATTTGCTGCTTCTAGTTATCACAATGGACATTTCTCTAAGGCACAAGATACTTGTCCAGAAACTGACTCAGAGTCATGGCTAATAATTTCTTCCCTAAATGGATGAGCTCCTCCCAGTCTCTGCAATATGAATAAGATGGAAACTTGATAAGTTTGAATGGCTATTGTCCAGTACTGTAATTGGAATCCAATTTTTATATAATATAAATGATTTGTAATGGACACCACTGAAAGAGGTGTTTCCATTTTAAAAGTTCTGATTGTGATGTCTAGTGGCTATTCTAACTGCATGTATGCTAGAACAGTGAGTTTCCCTTACTTTACTGGACTGGTTTTTCATGATAAATTATAGCTAAAGAAGCAGCAGGTACTTCTTTCATGCTTCCGAGGTTTAACACCAAAGACAAAATCACTCTTTTAATTGCAGATTTTTTACAAAAAAAAAAAAAGGAAAAAAAAAATCATCAGGTCCTTGCATTGATAACAGATACTTTAAAGTTTAAAGTACTTTGGGTTCATAGACAGAAGTTTCTCTGAAGCCAGCTCATGACTGTCCAGCAACCCAAACATAAACTGGTCTTCAAACCAGGAGGAGTTTCTGTGCTGCCTAAACTGTCGTGTGAACTAAAGAGAAACTTGCTGTGAAAAATCATCAGCTGGCCTCTGTCCATCCCAGGCAGAGTATCCTCTTTATCCAGAGGAGCCTGGCAGGTTGGGCTCCCTTCACAGATGGATTCTGGTTCTTACAGCCTTCAGTCCTTTGCATGGCAGGACTGTATACCTCAGTGTATGCAAATGTTGGCAATTGTTCTGAAGCTTAGCCAAAAAAACAAGCAAGGCTGATGAATTCCCTGATAGACTCTTAAGGTAATTCTGCCTGGAGGGAGGATTTGATGGCTCTGGAAATCAAAGGAAAGGATGAGACCATAAAATCAAAACAGTGGGATCCCTTGTGAGCAAGAACAAGCTTTTGAAATGTTACCTTTCTCTAGACTCTCTGCAGCAAAGTCATACTGGGCAATGCCATCCTGCAGCCAGGATCTGTGTGACATTGTTCTGTGGTGTAAAGAGGCAACCTTTATGAGCTGAAAGAGAATGGGCCTGTAAGAAGGCTCATTTCATTTAAAATGGTATAATTTGCAATGTTCCTGACTAGTTTGTTCTGGTTTAACCAGCCTGTTCTGTACAACTTTGGAATATAAAGATAGGTGAGAGAAGCTTGTAATAACATGCTCAACGTTGTCTAACCAGATACCTGGTAGAGCACCAGCGATGAACAAAGTCAGAAAGCACGTGAGTGGGGATATTGAAGCCAGGGAGTGAAGTGAGACACCAATTTGTAAAGATCTGACTGTGTCGTTTTATCCCATCTTTTTCCTTTTCACTGTGACTGCTCATCGCGATTGTCGTGGAGAATGAGCACGATCTTTGTTATTGCTTAGTGTTCAGTACATCTGCTGTGGATTCTCTGAAATTGGTAGTGGAGAAACATCTAGTTTTTAATAAAAGAACTCAGCAGCAAAGTGGGTAAAGAGGGTAGTGTCATTGAGACTTAGAGGAAGAACAGTCTCCTATATCTGATTCCCTGCTTGTGATTGTTGTGAAGTCAGTGAGAGGAGCTTTCAGTGGTCAAGTGTTTTGGCACATGGTATTCTGTTTAATGTCACAGCGCAGGTTTCACAATGTAAAAAAAAAAAAAAAAAAGGGCAAAAAAACCTCTCTCTTTAAAAACAAAACAAAATACAATTTTGCACAGAGGGCAAAAAGAGAAACCCCTTTGAATGTCACTTCCTTTCTTTCTTTTCAGTTGGCTGAAAATGGACTCTTATTCTTGACGTGTATTTGTAAACTAGTCTTGCCAAAATACAGACGTTTTGGGTTTTTTTCACTCCAGTTAATTTCTGTTGTTACAGTTATTGTTGTTTATTATTTCCACTTCTTTCAAACCATATGTTTTATTTCAAGAGGCCTTCCTTGCGGATTTTCTCCTGATGGTCTACAGCACTACACTGCTATTTCAAGGCGAAAGAGAAAGTCACTAACCTCATAAGAGAATACTCAACTCCGTTTAGCTGGCTGGAGCTGCTAATGCGCTACTAATTTTCCTCCACTCTGTGGGGCAGGAGGGGAATTAAATCCTGCATAAATTTGCTACCTCAAGGCTCCAAGTGCTTTAATGGTCTTTCACTTGGGAGAATTTCATAAGACAGTTCTTAGGATTGGTCTGTTCTTTTGAGTTAAATGTTTTTTCTTCATTGATTCATTGAGGGGACCCTTACTTTTAATTCATTTTACATTTAGTAATTGATTTTCAAAGGACGAACAACTGCAAATTTCAGTTCTTGCACTACAGTGTTGAACATGAAAGAAAATATCTGCCATATAAACATATGGTTTTTAAAAGTTAAACCATTCTGGGGTTCAGCTTCACTTTTGGTTAATAAAAAGCTGACATGCTGTGTCCAGCCTTCCTGGTACAATCCTGTGTGTGCTCTTTATTGTTTTACTGCTGCTGCCACCCCCCCCCCCACACACACACACACACCGCTTACATAATGACTGAAATTTCTAGCAGGTAACGAAATTTACTTGGAGTGTCTGAGTTACTGTTGCTTGTGTTATCAGAGCCTTATGGAAAACAGCACTTGCCCTGTTGCAATAATCGGAATAGATTTATACATCATCCAACCACCACGTTTTACTGTTTGGTGAGAAAATTTTACTAATATCTTTAAAATGATACCTATTTCTGTAGATACTGTTGCTCCAAATAAACCTGGCTGCTGTGATATGGTTGCCACACTATTGTAAAATTGATTTTCTCATTTTATTATTTGAGCAGTGTGCTAACTGGTTCTCAGTTTTGAGGAGAAACAATATTACTAGAGATCTCTTGCTGCCCTACATTTATGGCAACTGAATGTCATGTGGCAAGCTGCCTTTTTTAACCTAACAAACAATTTTAAAAGAAAATTAGTTTGGTACCTGTGAAGTTATTTGCTCAAACTCTCAAAATTTGCTTTTGCTGAAGCTTTTTTTTCTAAATGCTTACTATTTTATGTACAGTTTTTAAATTAGTCTGAGGGAGTGGTTCAGATGCATCATGGCTTTAATCATGGGAATGCCTCTGCCTCACCTGGACTACCGTACTCAACTTACTGTAGTACTTAAGTAGTAAGGGCACCTTAACTCAAGGAAGATGTTGACATCTGAAGGAGCCAGAGGGAGCAGCAAGATACACAGAGAATAAAACATAACATTTATACAGAAAGATAAGAAAAACGGGGATTTTTTAGTTTGGAAAGAACAACTAGGGCAGGGGGCTGGAGAAATGTACAAACCTATAAAAGATTTCAACAAGATGGAATGATCCCGTATTTGCTAGGACAAAATTACTAATACTGGGCATAAACTGCACCAGGGAAGGTGTAGGTTAAGCATGCAAAAGCTCTGTCTGGAAGTCAGCTCGAGCAGACGCTGGGAGAGTGTGAAATCTTCATTAGATATTTCTTGCAAGTTTGAAACTAGTTCTGCCCAAAGGTTTACATACCTGTCTGAAAAAGGGGTGGATGAGATGACCTCTTCAGGAGGCTTCTGTCAGATGTTTCTGTTTTCTTATGAATACCTTTGAAAAATTCTTGTCTTTCACAGCCTCACTGACACGCAAGTAGGCTGTCAATGAGCTACAGCTCACATCCAAAGCTTGCCAAGCACTGGAGTCGGAGGAGGCTGAGCTCCCAGCAGGACAGAGAGGAGAGAGAAAATCTTGGGCCTAAACACAGCAAACACCTTGAATCCTGGAGTTCCCTTGCGCAGGCTTTGAGTTGCTTGATGACAAATGCAAATGCTTTCTTGTGACTTACGCCCTAACAAGTGTATCAGATGGGTGCTGTGTTTGTGCAGCATTACCCTGCTGGGGTGAATGAGGAAACTCATCCCTCAGCTGTTGTTTTAGGCTTGAAGAAGCGCTATGTGGATAACGGTGGATGCTTTTTTTTCTTTGACAATGAACATTACAAAACATGGTTCTTTCATGAAAGTTGATTCTGCTGCTCAATCCCACTGCAAGGAAATGAGATCCCTTGCAAGTTCAGGCAGTGACAGAGGCATCAAAGGTGAATAAATTATGACTAGTTACTGACTGCTCCAACCAGTCACTTCTCTTGAGGATCACTCCTTCATTGCATTCTTTGTTCTCAAAGCCACCCAACAGTAGAAAAGGAGGGCTTTTGGTAATGGTTTTGATTAAGCAGCATGGTTCCCTGAAAATTCCTGGATAAGTTATTTCTTGGAAGAAAGAAGCAGTACTCTAAAGTTCTTATCCTCAGGATGTTGTTTCAGCTTGGGAACCTTTTTAGCAGAGCAAGGAAACTTTCATATTTTTTCTGCTGCTTCTCTCTGAAGGATTTAACACCCATCATCAGATAAGCTATAAGGATTCAAGCAAATATGAAAACGGTGTTACTAAGAGTATCTCCACAAGTAATCCGTTGCTGACCAGTGAGTTACGAGGACCCACCACCACCTGCCTGGATTCTGCATCTGCTCCAAGTTTCCGTTTCAGCTGTGTGTGCTGCAAGCCGGATTGTGGGAGATAGCGCAATGCCCAGATGCTTGAATCCCGCTATGGCATCCGCAAGTAACTGCGTCAGGACCGCTATCACGTGTTTAAAGGGGAGATGAAGAAGCGTGGCTGCTAGCTAGCCCCTCTCCCAACGGTTTTCAGAACCAGAAACTACGAGTTGCCTTCCTGAATCAGAAAGCGATGAGCTCAGCAGCATGAGCGTAGCCGGACTGTCCAACCCACTCGTTTGATGGCTCTGGACTAAGGCCTCAGCACGCTAAAAGGACACAGCACTCAGGGGGTCGAGCGGCAGGGCGGCAGAAAAACTGCTGGTCCGCACCCGCAGCTGCTCTGCGCGGGGCCGGCGGGGCAACAGCGGCTGCTCTTCTCGCTGGTAACGCGGAAGTTGCTGCTTCCCTTGGCCGGAGCAGCAGGGCGAGAGGCCTCACCGAGCGCAGGCAGCGCTCCGCGGGGCCCCAGGCCCGGCC